CAGCACACCTTTTTTGCTACAATCGTTGGAACAAGAGACATGTTAATGATCGTTTTCTTTGCCGAATTGGTTTGTAGCAGCCAAACTTTCCAGATAATGACAGTATCGACGCAGACCACAACAACCGCACAAATCACCTCAAAAAATTCGAAAAAGTCAAGGAATCACAATAAAGGCGAAATTACTATTCCCTTGAACCTGGAAATAATGAGCAGAACTGTCCAACTGCTACTTCCAAAGCAAACGTTTTCTCATTGAAATTCTACCTGTAAAATGAGATTAAGGGTCCAGTAAATATATGTGTATGGTTTACTCATGTCGTAGTACCAATAGTGACCTTGTGTCACGTAAGAATATCCGAAGTACGGCGTGAGTAGTGGTACTTAAATATAAATTGCGATTCTAATCGTTAATGGAAACGCTGCTGGAATCGGAAAGTAACTGCTTACCTGTAAAGAGAATACTGATGAGGACAATGCCAAAGTTGATCATTTGTATATGCGTAGGCAGAAGTGTGCGAAATAGCGCCGGGGAGAAGACTGCGATAAAATGTATCACCGACAACACTAGTAGGACAAAGAGCTGACTGAACCATTGACAGCCCATTATCAAGACCGAAATATATGTCAGATCCCGGTCTGGAATGGCTAAACATAAACACTGCTGTAGTCTTCAAAAAGCAAGGATCAGGGTTGAATTGGTGTGGACCCACTAGACATAAAAATAGGTATGAGGGATTGACCGAAAAATGGGAAAAAAGGAAGGCGTATTGGGGAAATTACAGGAAATACGCACCTTTATGATCTACGCTGCGAATAATTCTGAGAAGAGGACACTGAAGTGAGAAATAATGTACGTCACGGAAAGAGTGAAGTCCGAGCACTGGGAGCGCTGCAGATCACTTGTGAGGTATAAGATAGCGAACAGTGGACGGTCTGATAGCTTTAGAGGGATCTCTTCAAAGTCCTTATAGATAGCGCCTAGCGTCTAAGTGACGCCCTTCGACGTGCGAAGGTGGCGTGACCTCTGCAGTGATGGACCATACACCTCTATTCACGAGAGCATGTTCAGTGGAGCTGAACCTAGACCGTGTCTTCACTTGGTAGAATGAACTTATAAATAGCTTAGGCTGCCCAGACACTTCTAGCTTTCGCTCTCTGTTTTGGTTAATTTTCAACACGCTTTCAAGGATTCATTTTCTTAGACTGTTGTTCCGTTTCTAGCGAGAACAAACCAAGCAAGCCAATCAAAATAAACCGTAAAAATTGTCGCGCGCTTTACAAGAAGCCTCGCTCAGCAGTTAGGAATCATGTTCAGGCAGCCGATGTGCTCTTGCAGCCGTCCACGTCGCACGGAAATAACGGTGGCGCGACTTCCTTCCAAGTGGCAGCCACTATCCCTTGCAGATACCAATCGCCTGGCATATTCGTGCATTTGCGATTTGAAGAGGTAGCGGAGGGGTAGAGCAATCACAGTAAAAAACACCCTGTAATGAAGACTCAATTGCCGTCATGATTTTGACTTACCTCCAAAGATATCGGTGCCCAAGAAAAAACTGGGTACATCGTGAATCACGGTATTCAAATATAGAGCAGCATCCATAGCCATAGATAGAAAAATCGTCCATAGAACAAGTTGTGTCCGAATTTGACCCGTTTTGAAAGCAACAAAGACGATTAGTGTATCCACTGCTATGATAGCGGTGTTGGTAACAAAGTTGATCACGTACAGAGCTGTATTCATCGGTCCTCCTAAACGAATTATAATATAAATCTAGATTAAAAGATAAATCGCTAAAGAAAGAGGCTTTAGGTTGTCGAAACAATGTTAATAAAACAGAATTGGAATATTACTGTGTCTTCGATCGACCAGAGCTCTCAACCTATGAGGTACAGATCCTAGGCGGCGCTTATGTCGTGAGTGAGGCAGTCAGTACTTCGGACCAAACCTCGGGAAGGGAATCTGGGGGAGGATGTGAGCAAATCCTGCGTGCCCCATGAGTGGTAACGAGGCGAGTGCGCCCTTGACCTACGGCAAAACGTGGGATTCTATTTGGTGCCTAAAACACCTTGGAATGTAACGCGCGAATGCTCTACCGTTCATGCCTGTGTGGACGCAAGTGCAGGGCCTACTCTGTCACATCAACAAGTTGGTTACGTGCTATGTGCGCAGCGTGGTGCAGTGTGTGTAGCGTCTTGTCGGGTGAAAGGAAGAAATGATAAATACTACTCACGCAATATCACGTTGAAATCATCTTGAAACGCGCAAGGTTACATAGCCTGAAGTAGAAGGACGGCTCCCGGGGCTAGAATACTCAGAAATTGAATACATGGATAAATTTCTAAGGGAAACAGAAAGCAACACTACTATTATTATTCAGCATTTCTTGAACATGTCTGAATTTAGGACGAGAAAATAACTATCAAGATAGATTGAGATGAGGTGGACCCTGGCGATGGTTGATTATTACAAAGTTGAAAGGATAGCGTAAAATAAAGGAGATCGAAAGATTTGGCGATTACGTAGTCAACCTGATCATCTGCGAAATATGATAGGAAACGTACGAGGTAAGTGTAGCTCACAGTAGACGTTCAGTCAAGACTGACGCACGTCGTTGATGCGTCTCCCCACGACTGCGAAGCATCTTTGCTCGAGGTTGCGCTATGAGTCACGACAGCCCTAACGAAATTATAATGCATTCTTCTCTCAGGCTCTCACTTACTATTAGGTTGCAACAGAAGTTCTTGTCTTTTCCGACAGTTAACGTTTCAAGGTATTATTTCTAACAGAATTTTTCGCCTGCTGTTGCATTATGCATAGTTTTGGAAAGCGAGTTTTTTTTTTGCTTTATCCGGCGGTACTGTTGGCTTTGCCCAATTACTATTGCTTCCCCTTTTTCAGGGCCTGTATACAACATGCTCAACAAGTCAACCTGCACGATTTTCTTCTTCTAACACAAAACAGTATAGAAAGAGCCAATCCAGCTAATGGAGCATTGGTTCTCGCACTCACGAAAAATGTACTGTGCAGTAGCTTAGAAAGATTGTGCGGGCTTAAAGCGAGAGATTACGATAAAGTGCGTATGCAGCGTGGAAGTACATGCACCATTGGAAGCAGTAGTCAGGGGCCCAAGGAAACGAAATGTTGCGTTTTTGTGGTCAAGGTGCGCTAGTTGCAGCGTACAAGGCTTGCCATTCCTTTCTGAGCCCCGCCACGGTCTGTGCTCCGCCCCCAGCAGCAGCGCCCTTCGATTGCCAATGTGACGAGATATTCCACTTCCAGAGTGTATCCTATAACTTTTCATGGGATGCGTGATCAATCAAAGCATGATGCTTGCTGAAATGATAGAGGCTATCAGCATAACATGTGCAAACGACCTCCTAATTGGTTGCTAGCTCGTCCATTATCGGAGGTCAACGGGCAAAGAAAGGGTCCCATTTTGCGCCTTCTTGACGGATTTCTTTGCTTTTTTCGCCACTGGGGCATTATTCAGCATCTCCACTTCCACTATGAACCCAGTCCAAACTTATCGTAATCCCTCGCTTTAAAGGTGGTGAAGGTACTAGCTAGATATCGAATACTGCTAATAAAATAGCTGGAACATTTGATAGGACTGAATGTGCTTAGAACTATTGAGAAAGCCGCTACAGAATCAGGCATATCTGGTTTGCGGTTTCAAGTGACATAGAGTAGGCTAAAGTCAGGGAAAGTTGATAAGGGGTGAGACAAAAATCGTGGCTCCGTAGAGCAATGTGCTTTCTTCTACTTTCTTTCATCCTAAGAAATAACCTGATTTTTGGATTGCGAGTTGTGGAAAATATGATAGATTATTCTCAATTTATGTACTTCGGCTGAGTAGTAGTATGTTTACGGCTACAGTCAATGAAACTTCGCAAGACTGGAACTGCGTGAGGGGAAGTCGTGACGTCTTTTACGCGGTCTGCAGCGGGCGCAGTTCTCCGAGCACAAACGAAACACTATTATACAGTATTCTATCATACAGTTATTCACCTGCCGTCGGAATTTTAAAAAGACAATTTTAGTCCGACCGCAGACGGGATTGGATCGAGGCGGTGATGAACACCGACGTCGAAGGCAGAAGCGTGCGTGTAGATTAAAGCAGTTGACAGCGAATTAAGGGTTCCTAGTAATGGACAGTTTATTATTTTGTTAGGTACTGTCCATTATTAGGTACCCTTAATTCGCTGTCAACTGCTTTAATCCACACGCACGCTTCTGCCGTCGACTTCGGTGTTCATCACCGCCTCGATCCACCAATCCCGTCTGCGGTCGGTCCTGCTTGGTGTGAGCCCTCTACTCACTTATCTGTCCTCGTCTATTCTCTATTATACAGTATTCTTACAGTATACTCTACAAAATTTCGAGATACTCCGAAAACCAGACTCACTCGCCAAGCAAGAACTCAGACAAAGGGAACTGTGCACCTCAGTCGACGACAGCAGAACCGACCCTGCAAAAAAAGAACTAGCTGGGGTGCTGATCTATGCCACAGACTTCCTACTCACAGGACCTCTTCCCTATTTACTGCCAGTTTTCCAAACGTCTCGATAGCGCCTTAAATGAGAAATGCTACGAAATCCAACATGATCATTAAAGAACTCCGAAAATTTCATCACACCCAGAAATCCAGTACTTCCAGATTGAGTGAACTCGAATAATGCTGGCAAGGACGGGTAGATTGTAGTAGATTGTAACGCTTTTATTGCATATGAAAAAAGTTGTGTCTGAGTCGAGATATGCACATTTGAACTTCAGGGTTTGAAAAGGCAACAGCTTTCTTTACGATCTAAAAGTGGCACTTCAGACGAGGGGCACATGAACGGGTGGATTCGATACGGCCTAAACTGATTGCGCTGTTTAACCGCTCCACTAGCTGATATCTCGTCCTCGTAGATGAATCTGGTACCAATCATAAGCAACCAACTCTGCAAGGGAGGAAAGTTTTGTTTTTCTGGTAGCGTAACCAGATTTTAGCCCCAAATAATGTCTGAGGCATACGATGACACTTGCCGCTGCACGATTTTCAATCATCCTAATGAACCCTTTCAGAGCGCAGGAAAGTGGCTAGAGCTCCCAGAGGAAGGAAGGGTTATAGCCCATTTTTTATCTGGACCTATGATGTTCTTGGTTACTGGAATAGGAGTAAATAGCATTCTGCCAATCTGGAAGATTCTCCCGATGACCTGCATACCTTAAATTCGCTCTCTTAAGAGATAGTACATCAAACGAACTGCATAGCTAGCCTTATATGCTCCCCATTATTTGTCGCTTTGAGGAGCTCAATACTGCGCCCAGAAAAAACCCTACAATCGTGAAAAACTTTGTGCTAATAAATAGAATATGACAGCACGGGCGATTTTCACGCATATGATCTGCGAAACGATGTTTCACAAATCGTGATTCACAAATCCTTCCACCACAACAAAATCCCACCACGCATGAACAACTCATATGTCTCTAATAACAAGCTTTTCATAAGCAATTATTTAATGGTCGAATTACTGTGGAAAATATGGGTCATAATCCAAGCATCTGAAGAGGCGTGTCTGCAGACAAAACCTGTCTACATAAATACGTGCCTAGCAAAAAGAATAGCTATGCAATATGCCTACCCAGCGAAGTGTTTTCGCCTTCGTAGCGCTTAACCTCCCGTAGAGCACATAGAGTCAATGGCACAGGACAGCAAGAAAAACTACAAAAGCTAGCACTGCTACAACTGTTCAGTGGTCTGGTTCTCAACAAACCCGTAGATTCTTGGGATGTGAAGTGTACTTCTTCCGAAAAAAAATGGTCAGAGAATTATGAACCACTAGTGAGGCAAAGACGTAGGAGTCTCTATTCTCTTGAAATGCAGGCTTCGTAATTGTTCAGTTTTCCTATTTGATGCTCGACAGGACAAAATGAGGTACTCTTATGGGTTCTTTTTGTGATAGGCCACGCACGCTGCTTGTATGCGATATTGTAGACATTTTGGGTCCACTACGCATGCTGGCTTCCCAAACGAGTGGACAAAGAGCTGGTGGTCAATTCATTTATTTAGCGCTGTGCCGCCTAGTAGCGGCAATTCACGAGAATTAAAGCGCGGATGTTGGGTAGTTTTTCGTAGATGGGCTTCACTTTACCCGACGACAAGCAATCTTTTTAGATAAGCAGGGTCTACCGATGACCTTATTTCGGAGTGTGAGTATGAGTATGAGTATGAGCCGTTGTTCTTGGAGGTAGAGTCCTTTTTCCTCAGTGTCTCTGCCCAATTCTACAGGTGTTGATTCGCGTGCTTCCACCTTAACAGTTCTACCGTGAGATGCAGAATTTTTTCTTTTGCTGAGGGGTTTTACTCACGCAAGGACGTGATGTAAAACCTGAAATCAAACTTTCCTTTCTGACCATAAAGAAGTAAGGAACGCGGGAAAAAAAAGCTGGGAAAAGCACTACGAGCCCTCTTAGTTTTTTCGGGACGCACAGATAAACGCAGCAGAACAGCAGAACCGGATTTTGGAGGCAAATCGTCTGCAGCAAACTCTAGCAGAAGTAGAAGTACGCTGTGTGCCAGTAATACAGGGCTCTGAATTTGATGGCGGTAACTGCCACCGCCAGGGCTGAAAGGTTTGAAACAGTAGGCAGATAATGTGGGTCTGCACCAGGGAAGTGCACGACAGCCAAGGCCAAGCAGAGGTCATGTGGCATTTTGTTAACGAAGAGCTGCGCTAGTTAGAGCACAGTTG